TTGGATCCATACGGAGGGTTGTTCGATGATGAGCAGAAGAACATTCTAGAAATCAAGAAGCAGCTTGAGGATCCACATCAGGTGAATTTCTTTTTCTGTCAATCTTCAATTGAGTTCCTTTTTTGGTTAGGTTGTGTCTTGTTTTTCTTCGTTTCTTTTATATTGATGTTTGTGCAACTTTGTTCGTGTCAGTCTGAGGATTCTTTGGTTGAGTTGCTTCAAAGTCTAGCAGATATGGAAATATCATTCCAAGAACTCAAGGTATTTATGAGGCTCTTATATTTGTTTTCACAAACAGAAACAAACTTCTTGCACCAACGATCTCTTGATTTGTGGTATTATCTTTTTCCTTTTCTGATGTTGGAAGAGGTTCCAATTTCAAATCCCCCTCCTCAGTTAATAAAGAGAAAACAAACTTCCATCAAATTTGTGATTTTTTAGTTGTTGTTTGGCATTTCCAGGAGGCTGATATTGGAAGGCATGTGAGTCTATTGCGGAAGCAGCACCCAAGTGATGTTGTTAGGAGATTGGCAAAGCAAGTTGTCAGGTATGAACATGTTGTATTGCTGTTGACTTCTTGGTTGTGGAATTCTTGACCTTGGACAGTGAGAAAAAAAGAAGATTCTGTTTCATTTGGTTGTTGTTTTACAGGAAATGGAAAGGTATTGTGGATGAATGGGTGAAGTTACATGGAGAACTGCCATCTTCATCGGCCATGGGTAAAATTAAGATCCTTATTCCTTCCTAATTAATTTAATTTCTTCTCTCGGAAAAAAATTAAAATGATGTTCAGAAATGGGAATCATACCCGACTGACTGTGAATGCCAACATATGTTATTGGCAGTTGATGAAGACTCGCCCCAGCAGAAAATTCCCCAAAATGGTCTTCACCAGGTCAAAGAAATCTTTGTTTATGGTAAAGTTGTGGAAAATTCTGTCTTTTATTCTTGCTTTCTAATATTCTGTTCTTTCTGTTTTTCAGGTTCCTGATTTTGCATACTCTCCAAATCCTCACAGTAAGTATAGAATCAGATTCCAGACTTCCATTTCAGCTTATCTGAAAATTTACTCGTCTAGAGTTTAATTAATGCGGGCCTGTTTATTGTTTTTAATTTGATGTTATTATTATTGTTCACACAGATGGGAGTTCTGGGTCAGATAAGAACAATTCAGAACCAGAACGCAAGCCAAAGGCAGTTCCTAGGAGAGAAGCTCCACCAAAACCAGCACAATCAATCCCTATGTCTGCTTCTGCTCCTCAAAATGTACGGATACCAAATTCTATGTTTGGTTGCTGAAAATTGGAGGGAGATAATATAAATTTTGAAGCTTATGCTTCCAAAATATAAGAAACTGAACTCAACTAAGCCAATTAATTCTGTTTATAGCTTAGTTGAGTGCAAGTGTAAGTTATCTCAGTACTGCATCACAACGTGAATTCGTAAAACCGTAAGTCGAAGTAAATTATTTCCACTGAATTCTTCTTTGTCACTCAATTGGTTTTGCAGAGACAGAGAGAACAGAAGGAAAGCAATTTTGACAATGATAGATTGGCTTCTGCAAGAAAACGACTTCAGGCGAATTACAAAGAAGCTGAAAATGGTTTGCTTCATAACTTTCAACTTCTTGGTTTATTGTT